CCTCCGCGGCCGACGCCGTGGTCGGGAAGCTCGCGCCCAAGTTCGACGGGCCCTGCGAGGTTGAGGAGCGGCGTGGGGCCAACCTCTATACGGTGAGAGACGTGCGCACGGGGATGTCACACGTAGTTCACGTGAAGGACCTGAAGCCCTACCACCAACGTTGAGGGCCGAAGAATCATTTCCCTACGTTCAATGATTCAGAAGTATTTTTTGTTAGTTTTATCGTTCTTTTATTCGTTTTTCGATTTTACGAGAGGTGTTTTTATACCAGTTGGTTTTTATTTTCGTTCAAGAAGTCCTTTTTATTTTGTTTTCAAGAAGATTTTATTTTTTCGTTTACTTTTCCCTCTCGTACACGACCTCTTCTTCACGACGCCGTTTCTTCAGCCCTTTTTCGAGACCCTTTGGACCATCCCCCTCACGTTAGAAATCTTTTTTTTCTCTTTTTTTTGTGAAGTTGGTAAGGGGTGTGAGGTACCAAATTTTAAGGGGGGTAAAAACGTATTGCTAGTCAACAAACACCATTACTTACCCGATTTTTATCCACAACATCCTAATCCTAGGCCTATGTGTTGGCCCTAGCTTGGGCTATGGGCCAAAGAACGTAGGCCTACTTTTGATAACAGTGAAGTACACGAACACACCCACAACTACATATTTATTCATAATAGCACTCCGTTTCACATAATAAAGTTAAAACGACCGATTTTACGAATATTTAACGCCGATTACAACATCACTTAACCTCAAAATGGTGTTTGTTGACCAACGACAGACGACAACTAGACCGGCTCAACAGGTGAATTTCCGATCAGCTGTTGGCTAGTTCTCAAACTCACCACCAGAGCGATTAAGCCTCGACCGAGGAAATCATGATTTGAGCCGGACAAGATTATTCGCTGTTTGACCACCGACTAGCTCGCACGAGTCACGAATACGACAACGACACTACTACGATATTATTACGAAGGTTAGCTAGGTACCATACTAGTTAGGCCCCTTTTTACTTTTTACGTTATTTCTGTTTTATCTTACGCATAATTAACTTATTATACCTTTTCGTATTTTTAAAATTACGTTTCGAATTATCTAAATTTAATACCTCAACTCGAGTCTTGACCCGCCAGTTCCTGCCTGCCAGTGACTAGCGGTGGCGATCGTTTATTTTATTTTAATTAATTAGTTTCGAAATTACGATTTCTCCGTTCGCTTAACAAATAATTATCACGTCTAAATTATATCTCGTTTTCACCGTTTTAATACCCCGAGACTTGTCGTCCATGTTCTAAACCCCGTCTTTGGCGGGTGAAAGAATCAAGTCTTGGGAGCAGCTGATTTGAACAATCAAACAGCTACGAATATTAATATTGAATCTATTTTAAATCGTCCCACGATAAAAATATCCATTCGATTGTATTAATTAGGCCCGACGACTCTGTGGGAATTGTTTTTGCCTTGTATTCGATTTTATATTATTTACCAACGTCTTTAGCCGGATGGTTCACAGTTTATTACGAGTATTTAAATCACATTGGCTTCAGATTGAATACTCGTTGGCCCTACAGAGTCATTCTAAAAGTTAGGCAAAATTCTCCACAACACGTTAGCGAAGGCTGGGATGATATAGCTCCAACTGAGCGTCTGCAGGATTTCCTGAGCGCTTCTAGAGCTCTGAGCCTTCGATTAAATTTTAATAAATTGATCAGTCAAAGCCGTGACAACTTCGTATCGACCCCTGGATTTTCTCGGCTCCTTCTGAGCACTCCGGGGAAGAAATTTGAGTGTGGCCAGTCCTAGGGGTAGGCCTAGCCTGACTTTGGTGAATACTAGTTTATTCCCCCCCTAGAATTTTGCGTCACATATTCATTGTCCTACAAAAATACTTTATTTCAAACATACGGGTTGTTATAAGAAAAACACTGTAGAAGATTTACGCGACAGGTTTTCAGCATTGCACAAATTATACGTATTTATAAAATGGAAAATTTGATATAGATAATTCTTTCACTCCATACTCTTTTTCGCATGACACTAAAGTGGAAACGTCTTCCAGGGACACATAAAAAATATACCTAATGCCAAAATGCACATCAAATCTAAAAATCTTGTATTTGTCTAAAAATAATTAACTTTGAATATTAAATGTGTCTTCGAGTAAAACTAAATCTGCTAAATAGATATTTCAATTTCATTTCTGTGGAAAATTAAAGTGTTTTGTCCTTTCTTTATTAACCAAAAATATACATGCTATGAAATAATTAATGTTTTTTACAAATAATTTTAAAAGATGTAATAAAAACTTTGACAGCATCATAGTTTTAATGATAAACTCAATCCTAATGTTAATAATAAATGAGTTGGTGAAAATACAGTCAAAGAAAGTCAGTCTGGTATCTAAGATCAGTTTAAACCTCAATTAAGAACTTCTTGTGGTTTTGAATGGCTTTGATTGCCCTCCATCCAAACTTTTAGTCTCTAAAATATGCTAAGTTAATCCTGTCATCAGATATCTTTGCAAAGTTTAAGTTGAGTTGACTTCTAATGGACTCCAAACCGGTAATATTTAAAAGCGTAAATTAAATAAAGCTGTACAATTACTATCATTAGACCTCTGCAAAATAATTCATGAGCAGTTGGAACCAACACTAGCTGCTGAAATTGAGCGTTTTATAATTTGTAACTTACTTTTTATATATTAAATATTGTAAAACCCTCAAGAGTGTGTATTATTGCTTTGTTAATGCTTTAAAAACATTTTTTCAAGACATAAAAAAACATAAATTATATTAAAATTATATATTTTTTACTTTAAGGGTATGTAGACTTCATAAGAATGTGATAAAGCTGTTATCTTTTTATCAAGACAAAATTAGAATGACATTTCATTTAGATAAAATAGTTACTTTTATACTCTTGGAGTACCAGCATACTTTGACTATGCCTGGTTCAAATGCTATTTAGAAATTCCTGTGTAACAGGTATACAAGCTTCTTACTAGCAATTAAATGTGCTAGGAAATGCTTTGTTTTTGTATTTATTAATAGAGGGTAGGTTTTGCTGGTAAGGAAAGCACCACACCACTAGACAATATACACAAACTTTATTATTACACATTTTGAGATAGCGGGAGACAAAGGCTTGGAAGAACAGTTTAATAGACTTAGTGTATAATTGGTCTTGACTTATAAATACTCATTATACAATTCGGATGGTTTTCATTATTTATAAAATTCATTGCTTAGTAAACTTCGGCACTATATTGATTGTAACGGTGAATATGTATAAAATTCAGTTTATAAAATCTCGTTGCATGATTTATATATATACGAAATACAATTCCTCATTTTGATTAGACATCAGGTAACTTTATTAAAACTTATCTAATAAAAATATTAGGTATAAATATCGTAATGAAACTTTACTAATTTCTTAATACCTTTCCCATTTATTTGACATTGATGAAGTAATTTAACACTTTTTTTTACTTTTAAGTAAGTGACGTAATATGAAATCCATTATGTAACTTATCTATAGTGTTTAATTCAAGAACTTAATTTTTTCCCCGAATTGGGTCAAATATGTGCTAGTAATTTCAATTTGAAAGACACCATTTAACTACTTATATTATAAAATAAAGTATAGAAAAGTAGGCCTATAATTATATACGTTTTAAAACTTTTGTTTTTGCTTCTTTGTTCCAAGTGAAAAAAACTAGTAGTCTATGGACATATACAAAGATAAAAGTAATATTCAAAATATAAACAGTACACTCAATATGTTGTAAAATAGTGATTTATCATAAGTTACTACTCGTCTAACATATATTAACAGAATTTTTGGCAATAATAACAAAGCAGAATGCTTTAGGCATTCTGAAACAAACGCTTTAAGCTCAAAATAACAACACTGTATAAAAGCTTATTCTTTACAAGTTTAAACAATAATAAATAGATTTTTACACCTTAATCTAATTTATATTATATTTACCCAAAACCTTCTACCAACCCTGCATCATTGTTCTTCGGTTTATTTTATCGTACACTTTCTTTCCTCTATAAAGCATAGTTTAATTTCGATTTAATTTCAAGATGCTGTCAAACTGAAATCGTTTGATCAATTCCTAAACTCTAAGAGAAATTTGCAATGATCGGTCGATTAATGCCTCTAAAATGTTTCTGATTACATTTAATTAAATTTGAGATAGTTTACAATTATGTCTGTCTGTAACTTATAAATTTTAAAATGTGTTAATAAGATTCTTTTGAAACTAGGACCAAGTTAAAATTATAATCTATTATTTATTCACACAGTTAGCAAAATTGAGCTTAGCCATTTATTCATTTTCCCATTTATCACACTTCAACATATCCAAAATTACTTACCTGACAACGGTAAAAAAGCTAAAGAATAACACTGTACAGTAGTAGGTAGTAGACACACAATAATCCAACACTTTCAACAAGACTGGAGGAAATTCGCACTACCGTTAATAAAGGATTGCCAAAAGCAATATTATGATTGACCTATAAGCCATTGAAAGTTAACATAAAACGCATTATTTTTTATCTTTTAATTTACCCAAAAGAAACTATCTTAATCCTGGACTTTTTATTATATACAGTTTTTCTAGCCTTTTTTTAAGTGCATCATTAATTATCCCATACAATTTTAATTGGTTGTGTTTTTTAGCCTAGTGGGTATGACTTAGGTGCGGGAGGGAGGGGTTCAATTCCCTGCTCATCCATAAAACTTTAATGGGTTGAGACCAATCCACGTTGATGTTAATCAAAATGCCACTGGCATAGACAAAAATGTATTACACAATGAAAGATTGCAAGTGGATGGTTGATCCAGAATTGTCTATGCTTGGAAACTAACCATTGTAATAGCCGTGGAAATAATTCAGTTTGGGCAGAATTTCTCCGAAAGCTATGTTTATAGGATTAACAAACAAAAAAAAAATCCGAAAGTGCACAGGTTACTTCTTACTGAGTGTGATAAATAGTGTTGAATTATCCAGTGCCAACTGTACTACTGTACTAGGATTTCAGGAGAGTTCGAATGCTTAGTAGAAAACTAGAAAACTAGTTGTGGAAAATTCAAATTTTAACGTCAAAACAAGACCACAGGGTTGATAGAAAGCTTGGTCATGACTGGGCTGGAGGCTTGTGGTCGAAACATGTGACTACCAGAACGTGAGACTTGCAGGCATCAACTCTCTTGCGCAGGATGACAGTTTCTTGATGTAGAGCTTCCAGAAAACTGTGTGGGTCGTCCCAGTTCTGCCAGCTGTCCTCCACGTGGACTACCAACATAAGGAAATCATAATTTACTGAACAAGCTCACTGAACAAGCTGTTACTATTGTGATTATTGATAAGGATGCAACCCCACTGTTCACATTTTATTTCTTGAGATACATATTTAAAACATTCTTGAAGTTACTCATTTGATCTTACCTTCATTATTTCTAATTTTATTTCTTTATACTTTTCTGCTTAAATTAATTAAAAGTTAGATAATTTTTTAAAATTTTCTTCTTGTTTTTTGCTCTGTAAAGTGTAGAAAAATAATATGTAACATCAGTATATTATTAAAATTGACTTAACTTTTTTAAAGATTATCAAGAGATAGAATTCCTAGAATCTTAAAAACTTTTAAAAACTCTTAAAAACCTAGAAAAACTTTACTCCATTTAAATAAACATTTTAAAACAGCATTTGTAGATAATGAAGTGGCTTCTTAAAATGCTTGTAATAAAACTGTTACAATCGTTTTAGAGCAACAATATTTTTATAAAATATAATAACTCTTTACAACTTTCAAGTCAGTTGTAGTTCTTTCAGCTCATATTTATGTATATTTGTATATATTTACTTAATCACTCTTCATCAGTAAGAGTATTCAAACTTTAAAAGCTCAATAGAGATGAAACAATATTATTTAAGTTTTTTAAATTGTTTTATAGAAATGATTATGGATTTTATTTTGTAGGAAGTTTTGGATAGTATATATATTTTGTAATGCATAAAAACCTATAAAAACATTCTGCAAAAATAAAATTAAATACATTTAGAATAGTTATGATCAAATTTCATATGCTTAACGTAAAAACAAAAATAAACTGAAACAAAAAGAAAGTGATGAGTACGTACTCACGTTCGTAGCTCCATCTGTCTTGAGGCACCAGTAGCCGAGCCTTGGCCGAGGCTAGCTCAGCCTTGAGTATCCTCTGCTCTCGCCTGAGTTCTCTGAGTCTGTTAGCCTCGCTCCAGCCTCTCTCTAGCCTCTCCACATCGGGGTGGCAATACTGGAGACCTTGATAGAAAATAAGCATTTTATAGATTTTCCACATTTGTGTTGAAATTAAAAGTTGGCTATTAATGTGGTATTTAATTTTTTATTGTGTTTTTTGTGTGTGATTTTGAAAACAACTACCATGATCGGTTTCATTGGCCAGGACGGACAGGTTAGTCTAGTTTCGATATATCAAAAAGTTACTGATTTTTCTTCGGGACTAAATCGGTGACTTTCCGATTTCTAGGTGCTATAACCACTCAGCTCCCCAGTTGAATGAATAAAGCTTGTACTGTTAGAAGTTTGTTAATACCATTCTAGAAATAGGGAATCAATAACACTCTATACATTTTGATAATAGCAACAAGTTTTATCCTCCTTGTGATATATTCATATAGACCAGCACCTAAGTTGAATAGACAACATTTCATAAAGTAAAACAAAGATTCTAGAAAATTGAAAAATTCAGAAAATGGATAAAAATTCAGAAGTTATAAGAAAGTTACTTTCTGTAGCCTAACAGGAGATAGGAATTTTTATATTTAATTTAGAAAGAAGTTCAGTTTTTGAAATTTTCATTTAATTATTTAATTAATTAAGATCAACCAATTACTCAGATCTTAATAGTACCGGTAACTCAGTTAGTTATGTTTTATTTTTTTAAATGTTTACATTCTCTCGGCAAATATATAGTTTTGCTAATTAAAAGTAGGATTAAAGAAGTCTTATTACATTAAATTCTAATTTAACTTAAATTATCTATGTTTACGGTACTTCATATATACTTACTTGCTCCTCCGGGGTCGTGTATGCTGGACTGGGATTGACTATCTGGTTGTGTGCCACTTACATACCCACTGCTGTCACCGTTCTTCATTTTACTGCAGACAAACCTGTAAACAATTAAGACATCCATAGTTGTCACTGCTCTTGGTTACAATCCCAACTTAAAAATCATGAAATTACTTCAATTCAATTTGAAAGTTATTTATGCCGAATTACTTTTATGAGGCTGTAAGAACATAATTAATTTCAACCTACATATTACAGTTACCCACTTAGTAACTTGCATCATTTAGTTGTAAACCCTAAAGTTGACATCGTATATATAATTATAAGGCCCAGCTGTAGTAAACTTAATGTTGGTGTATATTCCAAAAACAATATTATCATGGGTGTATTCTATCAGTGACACAACTCAACTACGTTAATTTCTTTTGTTAACTAGCCACAAATTAAAAATGGGAATGACATGTCTACTCCATCAACAGTTAAAACTGAAAATAAATAATACATTTTAAAACATGTTGTTTAATAAAAATTAATGACACTAACCCTTCTCTAGAGAGAGTCAGTAGGGAGCTTTTCAAGGGTGGAGGAACTCTAAGTTCGTCATCCTCCTCCCCTAAGCTCCTCCCTCCACACTCGGCACCGTTCCCAGGGGCTCTCTCGCACCTCTCCTCTTGCAAGTTGGGGTTTGAAGCTCCATCAGGATGTCTTAGGGATGAGATACTGCGAGTCCTAACGAGAATGAAATGGACAAGAAGGACTATTTTAACATCGTAAACATGTACAGTTGAATTTACCAATGGATATCTCTTGGCATTGTAAAAAAATAAGAATATTACATAAAAAATGTTAAATGCTAGTGCTATAAAGTTAATACATATAAGAAATGTACACTTTCAACATTCTTGTGTTTATTTTGTAAGTAGGCCTAACTGTTATTTTACTTGTGGGTGCCCGGATTGTATGAATATACGTTATTAATTTTTCATTAATTTATTGGTAAAAAAATAGTGAATTTAACAACACAATTTTTTTAGTATTTTAAATGCTAAAATATTTATATGTTGAAAAAATACATAATTGTGTACAATACTTGCTAAAAAATATTGTAAACCATATTGCACACCTAGTAATTTGTAAGTATTTTCTTGTAAACGATGGGAAATGTACAATCTCTAAGCTAAAATATATGACCATATAAAACAACAACCAATCTCAACGGTGATGATTCACAAGATTACTGAATCATTCAATTACTTATTACAATATATTTAGGGTCTTAATATGATAAAAGAAAAGACATATCATATTTTGTAGACTACCATATGCAGTGAACACTTGCAAATCTAAAGTATAGATAAACAAACTCAAAGAATTATGATTAACTTCTTTGGAATTTTGACATCAAACCAATTAAAACTGAATATGAAAATAATAAAATATGTATGCTGCAATAATTTATACTTTACGTATTAAAATGTTAAAATAAATAAAATGTTTGATAAAGTGAAGACTTACAGGTGGCTAAAGTGAGAGGTGTCGTACAGCATGCCGTTTGTCAAACTACCCTTGCAGTTGAAGCACACCTTTCCCGACTTTTTATCGTCCCCCTGAAACAGTTAAGGTGATAAACTCAACTTCTTACGTTTCCTTGGGTGTAATAATATTATCTACACATAAAATGTATATTAAGCAGCTAGAATTGAAATGCAAATTTACTATTTGTGTTTAAACTTGTAGAAAAATGTATGATACAATTGGTAATGTTTAAGGAAAATAAAAAAATTGTTTTGTAAAACAGATGAGTTGTAGTTAAAATGATTTTTGCATAAAAGGATAAATAAAGTCAAATTTTTTTTCAAAAAAGGATTTTTTTTTTAATGGAAAATGGTTATGATAAGTGGAAATATTTCCAGGTAAGACAGATGTTCCATAACAATATTTCAAACCTAATATGGTTTCTTTTCTTGTTGCATACCTGGCTATTGCGCCTAAGCTCGACGGTTTTGACAAGTTCATCTCATATACACACAAAGACACAGATTATTTTCTCAGCATTCACCTTAAAAATACAACTTAAGGTTGTAACCATTGGGCGTTGCCAAAACCAGTATTACCTCTCAATGCTCCAGGAATATGAACCTTTCCTTTAATAAAAATGTGGTCCAGAGGCTAAATAATTAAGAAAAAGAGCAAAATCATTAAGATTACCGGACAGTAGGCAGGCTCGCTGACGATGCTGCTGGTGTCAAAGTCTCCTCCGTTATGGAGATGGTGGTGATCCTGCGCCAACATGTCCGAGAGAGATAGTGACTGACAACGAGAGAACAAACGTGTCTCAACATGCTGGGGCATACACAGGTCCTGCTGCTTGCGTGACAGAACAGGTGTGCGGCAAGGGTCCTGGTCCATGGCTGAGAAAAAGAATTTTGTAAAAAACATTTAACTATGATACAAGAAGTCAAATGTTAATGTTCTCCTTATATTTGTAACAAAATTAGTTTTTGTCAAAAGATATATTTAAAAATCAACTACTGTTCAAATGGTATGGATGAAATTGTATTCAGAATACTGTAAAAATAGATTTAAGGTTTTTTGTGCACTTTAACTTTGTGAATGATCAAAAGACTTAGAATTAAATAAAACTATTGCACTATTTGGTTTGAACGATCCACTGACATTATTTCAAAGTGTTTCCTAATCATTTCAAACAGATTGAACACCAATTATACATCAAATTGTTATCTCCATGAATAATTTGGCTGATTTCCGAATCTTACATCTGCTAAATTATTAGATAAGATTATTTTGAGGAAAAGGGAATTATCGCAATTCAAAACATTCAACTAAGTATTAAGTTTTTAAAAGTTAAAAACAATAAACTGAACATAACAATTAATATTATGCTACCTTTACCGTTGTGAATTTCCATAGACTGATTTTTCAGCCATGTTGTGTGATGGAAAAACCCAGGACCTCTGGGAAACAACCTTTCAAGGTCATTTGCAATCGAAAGAGAATCTGAAAAAAGGGATACTAATTACAAAAGTTTTAAACATTTTATTAGCACAAAATGTGTACACATTGGCCTTTCGCTGGTGGTGCATTACCATCACAAAATAAAATGGTAATCATATCCTGGAAATTTCATAGATGAAATAAAGTTAAGTTCGTATCATTCGGTGTTTACTAGCGAACAATCTTGCATGGATATTCTGTAATATATTATTATATAAAAACAGGATGCTTCAAAACCAAAATAATTGAATACCTATGCAGTATTTTAAAAACAACAGCAATATATGTTAGGTCAGATAGTAAAAAAATTACCTGGATAAAATATAGGAAAATATTACGTTCTTGTTGATTCCACAAGCAGGATAAATTTCAAATGTTATAAACCACAAATAAATAACAGATAAAATTAAAATATCATTTTTTTTTTACAATCCGTCAACCCAAAGCCTATGTGTCACTCAAGTTTTTTATTGTTGGTTGAGTTTCAAACTATACGTAGTTTTTTTTAGCATACCTGTGAAAGTCGACACAACTGTTAGATTCTCCTGACTCAGTATCCTCAGAGGATGTTCCTCTTGGTCGACCTCAGGCAGAGGATTCTCAGCCTCTCCCATACACAGTGCAATATCCTCCTCTGTTACCTGATATATACATGTACATATTATAAGGATATTGTTATAGTAATATTTTTGAATAACTTTAAATAAACACTAAAACCTTTTTCAACAGGAAATAAATGTTTTATAAAGTGATTCAAATTCAAACTACTAATTTCCATAATGTGGGGTTTCCTAACAAAAAACCCATTTAATATTACAATGTTGAAATTATAAGAAACAGATAATTAAATCTCACAAAGATGTGTACAAAGTACAAAGAATAAAACTTTATTATTTGCTTTGTAGTTTAAGTTTGAAAAATAAACTAACATAAAAAAATAAACACAAACACTGATTTGTAAACAAATTTAAAAAATAACAAATGCTATTATTTTATATTTTTTGCTTCAAAATTTCTGTAAAAAAACTGATTGCAATACCATTTAAAAACAAAACCATAAATATGCCCAATAGACATGGATTCTCCTTTAAATATTAAGAACAGGATGGGGGAGGGGGGAAACAATTAATTATTATCATAGGTAATATGCAAGGGTGTCAAGATACATATAAGGCTGCGTTTACATTGGAAGCACGCTTAGGCAAGTAAACTGGTAGCGCACGCTTGCGCAAGCGTGCCGTGCCCGAAGTTGTGGTTATACTACGAGCAACCAAGCGCAAGTGCCACTAGTCTCAGCAGGACAGTACAGTCAAAATTGACATGTCAGACGATGAGGATATTGTGCTAGAGAATGGAGTTTTAAAGTTTTTATTATTAGACTCTGAACGAGTAAGGGTAAATGATTTTTTTATGGATCAAGAAGAAGGAAGGGAGTATGCCCGGATTTTTGTTGATCTTCTGCAACAGCCAGATAAGTTTTATGAATATTTTAGAATGATGCTAGAAACATTTTACTACATTTTAGAGAGAATAACACCAAATATTGAAAAGCATTATATGTACAGTTGTATTGTAGTAGTTATTGCTAACAATTCAAATAAGCCTACGACTTGCGTAATTGAATCAAATATATTTACACTTGTGCTACCATTATTGTTAATGAATTATTTACCTTATTGGTAGGGTATATTGTAGTACATAATGAAGGCAATTAAGTTTAGGAGAAAACAATTTAATTTTGACAGATAATTGCATTACAAGTCATAAAGTAATTGAAATTATTTTTCTTTATGATTAAAACCAGGGTGTGTGTTATTACATTATGTTGTGAATAAAAACAAATTATAACTGTGTTATTTTCCACTGTTCAAGAAATCAAATTAATCACTAAAATCTGGTGGAAAAATACATGGATTACAATCATTAATTAGGCAATGGGAACCCCTGGTTGTAGCCTGAAACTAATTTATCCTATATAATTGGTCTTCTTGCGCGAACAGCATCAATCAACACCTCCGTATCCATGCTGAACAACTATAAACACTTTACCAACAGACACAACCGATGCTACTGTGTCGGTGAACCACAACAAACTGAGGCACGCTTGCTTGTAGAAACAAATATTTTTGTTTCGTGATTTGAGAAGCGCAAGCTTGTCCCAGCGTGCGCTTGCTAGTGGCGAGCACTGTAACCACCACTGGTCAAGTCGCCGCCGGTTTCCAGTAATCTGCTACAATTTTGTTTCAAAGGGCAAGCTTGGCCAAGCGTGCGCCACCATTTTACTTGCCCAAGCGTGCCTCCAATGTAAACGCAGCCTAATTATTGTACTGGTGGACAAGTAAGTTTTTACTTAAATAAAAATGGTTAGCCACAAAATAGTTTTGCTAATAAATTTAGTTACTACATTTTAGTTTACCTGAAGGCATGAATCTTGCATTGCAACTAGTTGACCTGGCTCCTCCATTTCTATGATTTCAACTTCAATTTGTTCATCCTCTTCCTCCTCCTCATAATTCGTTCCTTGCAGCCTCTCGATTGGAACAACTAAAATATAAATTAAAATGAAAATTAATAAATTAAATGAATAAACATAAAAAATGAATGAATTATATTTATTTTTTATTTGCACTATCAATTTATTGGAGAAAAAGATTTAATCATGATAATAAACAGGTAGGTTTACCTACCAGCTTTACCTGCTAACTTGCAGTGAATTTAAAATTTACTTTTTGTTGATTTAATCTATTACTTGGCCTTTTTTATGTCCCACCTTAATCTGCTAGCACGCTAAGCTTATGCCAGGAACAGTTTTACACATTTACTTCAAGCTAGATCTAGAGGGTCAAGGATATATCCCATACATAAAGTCCATTGGTAGGGTTTGAACCCAGGACCTCAGGGATCAAAGTCCCACATTTTACCACTAGACTAGCTGGCTTCCCATTTGGTCATCAATTCAAAGAAACTAAAAATGGTAATATAGAGCATATAAAGAGTATCTACTGAACGAAAGAAATGTATAACAAACTATCTTAATTACCTCTGCCGATTTCTCCATTCCTTGCAGCAATGGAGGTTTGATGTAAAGCAGGAACAACTTCTTCTTGATCCTCCTCATCTTCTTGTCCACTAGCCTGACCTCTGACTCCACAAGTGCCGTCACTAGAGTCCCTACCTTCATCCGAACAGGTCTTGAAGTTGGCCAGATACCTTCTAGGCGGTGTCTTATCCCTCGCCATGGACTTATGTTTCTGCAACTGCACAGCCTGGTTCTCAACCCACTTTCTGATCATACTTTTCTTGTGATAGTCCATGAAGCCGTAGCTCAAACCGTTTTCTGCATTCAACGGACCATCCACCCACATTTCTTTCTTTGCGAGCTTATGCGGTCCATCTTTTTGCATCATGTGGAGGTTCCTTGCTTCAACCACCTTAGATTTAGCTATTCTGGGACCATCGACCCATCTTTCTTCTGGAGTATGTGTTCCATTCAATTTCGGAGTCTTTACTTCCTTGGCTTTACTAACAGACCGTGAAGGTGATGACTTCGAACTCGCAAGTCCTGATTTCCCCAGTTTTCCCACCCTATGAGGAGAAGATCTATCTTCGTGAGAGCCGTTCACTTGTGACAGTTCTTGACACATTCGCTGAGGGGATGCTGGAACTGATCTTGATATGTTGGGTCTGATTCCTCTCTCGTGGCCTTTAGGCTCCACGCCGCTACCTCTCAGAGCCTTCCCCATAGCACAGCGGTTGTCTTCGGAGTTGAGGCTTGGCAGGTACACAGGTGGATGTTCTCCGTCGGTTTCATCTGAAGGACCAACATATATCACAGTATCCGCTGACTGTTCGCTGCTTGAAGGATCCACTTCGCTACTTGTAGTACCTCGGTTCACATCCTCGCCAGCAACCATGCCGGAATTTCCTCCGGTGAACTAAAATAAAAGTTGTGCATGAATGTTTGTTTCAGTTTAAAATATTACAAACCTATAATATTTATAGGTATATAATATTATCAAATATTTATAGGTAATATTTATAGGTAATATTTACAGGTTTAATATTTATAGGTATATAATATTATCAAAAAGGTTTGTGTCGCCATTACGATGCCTACCTTGATTCTTCTCCTTCGTATCCTGTGCACCCTGGAGGCCAGTTGGACAGTTCCCAGGGTGTCAGAATAGTTCTGGGCGGATGGTGACACGTGAGCTATCATCCCTACGTGACATGTAAGGGATGATAGACACTCCTTCAACACTTGAGTCAGTTTGTGTTCTCTGCAAACAAAGAATAATAGTAGTATGAACTATTAACAGAAAATGGCAAATATTTGAATGGCAATTAATCTATATACAAGGTTGCACAAATTCTTGTAACCATGCACACGGGGAATTCAGGAAAATTAAACAAAAAGACAGTAATAACAAGTAAGAACAAGCAAGGTTGTGTCTGTAAGTATACCGGTTTTCATAACAATAGTGGCCACTCTCAAAATAAATTAAAAATATATTTTTTGCGATGTTCCCGAATAATACTGTATGTTTTATAAACTTTTTTTAATATTAAATTCTTACTATAGTAGTCGTGCAGTGGTCAAAAACTCAACCAAACATATGTAATGTATAGGCTTCTCTAAATTTCACTCCAGGCTGTAAATAAAACGTGTGATTGTAATTTCTTCCATTTGTTTTGGTTTTCTGTTTTTAATTTTTTGTTATTTCATCACCAGCATGGCAACCCATAAGGCCCATGTTAACTTTTTTTATTTCAAATTCATTTTTTGTGCTTATTTTTTTGCCTGTTTGAATTTATAAATTGATTCTTTACATGTACAGGAAAATATCTTTCTAACAGGATGCGTAGATTTTCCTTGCGATTCACACAAGCTGAGAAAAAAGGTTTTAAAGAAAAATACTTGCCTAAAAATATATAGATTGCAAAATTTAATAAAATATTTACTTAAAAACGGAATATTCAGAGGGCAAAAATAACAGTTAAACTGTAAAATAAAGAAATTCATTCCATATTCTTAACAAGGATACGATGCCAATGACTGAACATGCAAAAAAAAAAAAAATTGTAAAAATATATAATTTTCCTTGGATTATGGTTATGTTACAACGATTCTAACATCTTACATACCATACATAATATCCAAGAATGTAAATAATCTTAATACTTATTGAATTCAGACTTATCATACAACAGTTTTTCTCACTATTTATAAACACTAATACAGTATATTAAACAACGCAAAAGGTGTTTTTACAAAACGCCAATAGAATAAAATACAAAGATAGGTACTCAACAAGTTATTTACCCAAACTTAATTAAACGCTTAAAACAACATCTGAAGTTACAGAGCATCGCAGATCGAAACAAGAAAGCCTACCACAGAGTAGTTTCAATAGGACATATTGGTTGCGTGATTCCATGGCTCCCCTTATAGTTTACTGTGTTATAAAAAGCCTTAACAACTTCTGTTGAAAATACGATGGGTGGCGCCACAGTCTCACACTCACAGACAAAGATAGACATACACACTCGCACACAAACACACCAATACACGTCATAATGTGGATGGTTAGCCACCGTTACAGGCCTTTGGTCGAAGTTAACCCTGATGGGCTACAGTTAGAGCCACAATGGATCTCATATATTGGGATCTTTCAACCAAAACATAATATTTTATATGTGTTGTTCTTCAGATATAAGTCTGTAATTTCTTACGCGATTTTATTTCATTTGTTCAGAAAAATTACATTAGGTAATGCAATTATTTGTTCTTTACACATTGGTTTTTAAATCTCATATATTGGGATCTTTCAACCAAAACATAATATTTTATATGTGTTGTTCTTCAGATATAAGTCTGTAATTTCTTACGCGATTTTATTTCATTTGTTCAGAAAAATTACATTAGGTAATGCAATTATTTGTTCTTTACACATTGGTTTTTAAATTGTTTTACGCAGAAGTTAGTCACAGAATTCTTACCTTTGTTACACTTTTAGGTATTTACAGTATATCTAATTTATTATTTTAACAGTAATAAAACTACTGCTTTAAAAATACATTCATCTTTGATTCCATTATTTATATACTTGTAATACATGAATTTGTGAATGGTGATAGTTATATAAGTATATTTTCTTTTATGATTTTTTTTATATTTATGTAACAGTGTCAGATGTTGAAATAAACTCTAATGATGTTTTTGGTGATTTTAATTTTATAAATATCTTTAGGTCGTATTTTGGAACTAAATACTAGCTTTTTTTTACCTCAATAGTAGCTTTTTTACAAGAAAACTTTGTTGTATCACAGTATTTAATTATGCGTGGACTATATTAAATTATAACACTAATTTGAAAGGAAAAAATATATGATCTTAATACAATAAATTAATGTTTTTAAAACACGTAGATATTTATAAAAATGTTTTACTTCAAATTTGGCGTGTTTCTATTCTTGTCTACAAAAAAGTGTTTTTAATATATTTTACCAGCTATCTTGATGTATGTCTAGCACTTCTTATTGAATTAAATTTTCTCTGGTTTTTATATTTTTAAAATCATTCAACATACATAATATGTATTAAATATTTTAATTAGCATACATAAAACAAGTGTAATCATTTAATAAATGGTTAAATATTCTAACCCCTAAAATATATGCAATTTTAGTAAGTAACTAACCTGTGGGGCAGATGTTTCTGGCCGTTGAAAATGCCGAGAAGAACATTGCCAATCCCTCCAAGACTGAGCCCACCAGTAAGTTTGCTTCGTTCACAGCTGCCCAGGTCAATCAGGTGTAGCCGACTGCGGCCACCAGCAACTGAGGACAATGGGAACAATGAAAACACAAGAATAAGAACAATGGGGACAGTAGAAACACGACAATTGAAGCCAACACAAAAATAGAAACAATGGAAGCTACTACTAAATGTGACAATTACAATGAAAGTAATATAGAAAACACTAAAATATAATTAAGATAAAACTACTATGATATTACCTAACTTGTGTAACAGAGATAATTGAAATCATTAGGGAAAAACGTAATTCAATGATAGTACTAATGTTAATTTTGGAATATAATATGTATATAGGTATAAATAGTTTTATACCTTAATATCACAAAGTATAACTAAGTGTAATGAATTATCAAACATTAATATTTTTTCAAAAATAGATTTTTAAGGGTTTGCAGTTTTAACGTTATACAGTACTTGATTGTAAAGCAATTAAAATGCAAAATGAACATTTTTATCAAAAAAACATAAAAAAGGTTAAGTACAGTACTCCTTTACTAAGGCATTATTTGGAACCCAAATGAGTTTCCTGGCTAGAAGAAAGAAACAGTTGATTTTCTTCATACTACTTATACTCTTAATTAGGCTACAAATTTATTGTATATGGTAAACTTAGGTTGTAAGATCACAATAAGCAAGTTCCGAGCCCAACAAATCAGGACGTACCAGCGCCCTTGGTGGCGACGCTGTACTGGTAGATGTGTAGGGTGTACAGGAAGTGTGTCTGGGGCGCCCGGGCGGCCAGGGCGCTGTCCAGGTAGAAGGCGGCCTTCTCTGCAGTGGGCGCCCTCAGCTCGCTGTAGTTCTGCAGCTGCAGAGGGTCGTCTCGGAGATACACACCGGGCGACTGCTCACACTCTGTGGGGCATAGCGGGGATGAATGTGTGGTTGGGGTAGTCACAGTTTAATTTATAAAACTCTAAGTTCAAGAAATAAACGGTATCAGCAATCAGAACCATGTGTACTTTCTACCATTAGCTTGTCAACAGTCCTAAGCGGTGGGGTGGGAGTCAGTAACTTGATATTTTATGGGGGAAATCAAAAGCTGCAATAACTTATGAACCGGAATTTATACATATATGAGGGTTGCACCATTCTGTTTAGAATTATAAGATCTGTAACATTCTAAGTTTTGACTAAATGTCGAGCCGTTTCTTTATCAGATTTATTTTTTTTTAGTTATATACGATAAAAAATGCAATAAATACCTGAAGATACCACAGATTGGTACACATATACTAAATTTCATAAAATCCGGACCGCAGGTGTGGTATGTAGCTCTGTACACATCCACACACCAGGCAAACATGACTTCAAAACCCACATTTTTGGGTTTAGGGGCACCCAAAACGGATATCCATTCAAAAATCAAACTCGAAAATTTTGAAGAAAACAATACTTTCTTCAAATACTTAAAATATTGGGAGTAAGTAAAAATTAAATTTTAAATAACAATACTTTAATTACAAAATGTTTTGCTCCTAACTTATAAAATGTAAGAACCTAAACTAGGCAACCCATAGATAAGGTGTTTTAAAATTCATAAAAAAATCATTCCTGTTTAAGCTTAGTTAGATTCAAGCAGTAAAAAATCCCAAATAAAATTATTACTATTACTTATTTAAAACAATTTCTGTTTTAAATTACCAACTCACCATTGGCATGTCCCACCAGCAGGTCTTTCAGCTGTTGGGAAATCTCCACAGCTGATACTCTAACAGAGAACCTGGCACCTGTCTTCTGTTTCTGTTCAGCAATGCCACGGAACAACCACGAGATGGAGCTGGGGATGATTCCTAGACTAGTGGCGGAGTCTGGGGTGCCGAGCATCGTCTGGGTCTTACCTGGAGAAGGGGTGGAGATGAATAAAGAACTGAGCAAAACTGACATTGTAAGGATAAAGAGTAGTAAGAATGTTTTGTATCTGGACCTTTTGAAGACTGTTCTGTTAGTAATATTGGCTGGTAAGCTTGTCTCACAGTTCTTTTTCATTGTCATGTGAAATTTCATAACATAACACCAACCATGTTATGATTTTTTGCAGTGGCATCATTAAGTTTTTGTCTCAAATCCAAATAAACGAATAATTTTTTTTATATGATATTACTGTTACTGGGAAAACCCCAGATGGTGCTAAAATAATGATGGAAAATGTTACAACATCAAAGAGCATAGTACACAACAGATGGAATAACTATCACACAAAATAAAGCAGAATGGACAAGGTTGGCAATTAGCATATTGTATATACATTCGTAACTTCAACACTTCGTAACTTCGTATAGGAGTGTAGTTTATGTCTAAAGTAAAACATTATTTTATTATATTTTTACCACACCCAATATAACTAAATAGACGGACAAAATTTAAATTTGTATCGAAAGTCTTTACTTAAAACTATAATTAAATTTATGACTGGGGATATTGGATTTTTTCTTATTACCATCAAAGTGTATAAAAGCTATCAATAAAAACTAAAAATATAATATGGAAAATATCAAATTTGTTAATAAGTCATTTATAACACTTTCATGAATAGCAAAACTCGCAAATAATGATAGACGGCTAATTGTAAGAAAAACATTTATTACCAAGTTTAGCGTGTCCAAAACAGAAGAGGCAGCCGTCAGAACCATTTATAACTGCATGAATGATGTCAGTCAGTGCGGATGAGCACACTTCCGCCTGGAAAAGAAAAAGAATTAAGACAAATAATTAATATGATAAGTGTTGATTATAATTTTTATGGTTTTAACCTGATAATGGTAATGATATGTTTCATAACTAAGGTCATAAGTTGTTTAAGTTGTCATAAGTTGGGGCGCGCTTCAATTTGATGTGTGAGGTCGTGCGAAACACAGGCATAAAGTTTGAAATTCGCAGTTAATCCGAACACGAGTAAGCTATGGAGCAAGTACCGGAAATTTTTTTTAGTAAAATTTGAACTACCATTCAAATCATGATGCAAAAACTGGGATATATCCATTTATGTCTACTTTAAAATTTTTACGAAAATGAGTATAATTTTAACTAAAAGATACATTAAAATTTAGTAATAGCGCATGTGTGAAATTGGTAAATTAGGCTTGAAAAGTTTAATTGAGCACAAGGACATTAAATCAACTACTATTGGGTGATTTTAGAAAGTAAGCCTATAAAATGGAAGTTATAGAAATTAGAGAGAAATCGTCTTAGTTCTTTAATTTGTAAAAAGGCAAAGTTGTTTTCAGACTAAATTAATTTCTTTACGTTGAAGTGCTGTTTTACAATGTTCATAATATAAGAGTAGAAGGCTTTTAAAAGTCAAACAAAATATTGACTAAACAAAATAGGTAAATAGGTCACTGACAACTGCAGTCCAAGTCAAGTATGGAAGCAAAAGCCTACTTGTGTTAGGCCCGGGGGGGGGGGGGGGTGAGACAGCCTGACCCCATCTAATAAATACTGGAGTCGACATTACAGCGCTATTTACCCTGCACCCTGAGGCCACCAACAGTAAATCAACTCTGCCGAAACAATGGCAACTTTCTTTGACTACGGAGCTTAAGTTGTTAATTTACTGCCGTCTTTATCTTACAGCGATGTAATAGTTGGAGCATTCCTTAGTCAGGAGAATAAAACTTGCTTTTGTAACTTTAGGGTTACTTGTGTAATTTACTAATCTACTATCTGGTAGTGTTTTATGTGGTGGTAAACAATCAATTAAATATGGTAAAGATGTACATATGAGGTAATACAATCTAAATACGATATTTTACTTAAAATATCACATTTGGTATTAATATAAGGGTGAAAATATGTGTGTAGCTTGTTTATTGCAAAAAAAATTAATAACAAATCTTTTTTGGTTTTGTTTACCTTAACGCTTTAATTTATCTTGGATGCAATACACAGTAATGTCGGTTTTGTAATATCTATTTTTGTGTTAAACATAAAATGGTGATCACAACCGATTTAAATAAAGCATATATTTAGACAAAATCCGTACCTATCTTACTGTATTTTCGACTAAGTAAAAATAAATTCATAACATTTATTATCAAATAAGACAATATCAAAATTCGTGTATACAGTACTTAGATAGTTTTTTTCAAAGGTTATACCCAAGTGTAAGCAAAAAAATCAGTCATTAAACCATTTCCTTAGTTACTCTACATAACTGTACACAAAAGTAAATTAACATACCAAATTAAATAAATAATTCAATAATTAAAACTAATCATAACAAATCAATGTAAGAGCACACAAAGATAAAGAATAGTTATAACATTCTATGAGAACACAAGAAAATATAATTTGTGATCGCAAGGAAATTAATATTTTGAATACTTTAATACTTTTAACTGAAATAGTGACCGTACGAAGGTAGAAATTTTAAACCAAGTATGGATGGAGATGAGTGGCACGACCTTGGGAGTCTTGTTATTGACTAAGGCCGACATGTTCCTTAGACAGGACTGTTAATTAATAGCCCATACAGCTAATGGCAACTAAGGTAAGGGACCTATAGTTTATAGTGAAATCCGAACAAAATTTTTTCCTTGTAATTTATTAATTGGTCTAATTATCAGGATAGTACTGCGGATCGTCGTAGTACCTACTAGTGCGGACGTTAATCCACACCAAGGGGTATCACATCTACAGTGCATGCCTATAAATATCCACAATCCCACAAATAGCCTTATAAAAAAGTAAAAACAATACCACAAAGACCTTGGATAACAAAAATACAATTCACATAAACTTTTCAACCATTCTTTTAGTGAGACATACTCTTGATTTATACTAATTTGAAATAGGAGCCCAGTAGCCCCAAACATCAATAATCACCTGCGAATCTTCATGAGTGAAGATGGAGTCGAATGCGAACATTTTGGGCGCCGCAACGCCGACCCTGCGGTCCTCCGGCGCAGAAGGGCCGCCACACAGCGCCGGGTCAAACAGTGTGATCTGCTTGCGGCGCTTGTCCACGCTGAAGAACGAGGTGGAGTCTTCGACGGAGCTCTGGGCGTCACCAGCCACGCGCAGCATCACCTTCACCTGCACACAGAGTTGCCTTAGTTCTTGCTCATAAGATCCCATATTTAACAATTGAGTTGGATCACAATCTAAGAAATTTTGAATGTACACGAAAAAAGCCCATGTAGCCATTGGAATTGTACGGTCAATGGTAATAGAGTGGGTGCAAAATCTGTGAAGACGTTGGACATGAAAGGACAGGATAGACGCTGAGAGAAGGAAGGAATATACCAACCACATACGTTGGAGGGGATATACGTCGCCATATGCTCTTAGATTTGAAAATATGATATATATGATGTCAAATTCGATTTGTAAAACTGTGTCTACAAGGTGTATGTATTTATAATAACCATATTTAATTTCTGAGCAACAAAAGGGATTTCAGTTAGAAAATTTACAATTTTATCCTTAAACAATAAACACTTTTTTACAAGGAAACGGCGAAATTTCACCAAGTACCTGCACAAACTAATTGACCTAACAATATGGTCAGATAGTTTTTTTTTATTACGTAAAACTCTTATTGTGTTTTAGTTTTAATTTTTTTCTGCTTTGTGGTTTTCTACACTATTAATAATGTTCACATTTTTTTAGGGAACAGTACTAATCCTGGTGTTCTTACTGTCTAACGTTGACCTTTTGGTAGCATAATTAGTTTATAGCCCTATGCCATTTAGGTTCAGAGTTGATGTAACTAAACCAGCGACCTCCAAATGTAAATCTTTTACATTATAAATTAAGCAAGAGTAACTACTTCATGGTGTGTCGTGACCAGGATTAGTGAGCTATGGCGAGCGCCTGAAGGTTCACTGGATAGGCAATATGAGTGTTGTAGTAAGGTTGCCTATCAGCGCCTAGTGCTCGCTTTAAAATATATTATAATAGGGTCTATAATACACAATACAAAAACAAAATCATCGATTTTAGTTTTATGTTTAGAGTAGTTAATAGCCTGCGGTATCAAGATATCTGAGTGGGTTTATGGTAAGTTAACAATATTAACTTCAATTTGTTAAACTTGGAAAAAATATACTCGTGTAAAAAATTTTAGCTCAAATGGAATGAATTGGAGTTCTTGCAAATTGGTAAATTTATTTATTTGGATAAATTGGTGTATAGAGTATTGCAGTTCAGTTTTTAAATTATAAATAAATCATTCATATTAACAAGAGCCACACTTAAAAGAAATATATTGAAATTACTATTAGTACAATACAGTATGTTTAATACTATTAGATTGAATAAATATCAGCAACGAAGTAGTAACCTTAAAAGAAATCATGTATATTCTGCTATTCTAATATTCTTGGAAAAATTGAAATGTATATGTTGCTAATGCCCGTTGCGTATGACCGTAAATATTTTTCCCAGAAATTAAAAACACTATTATACAGATTCTGCGAACCCAGAGATAAAAACATGCCATATCTAGCATACTTTAACATATGTATGCAATAACAATTCGGTATTAAAAACAATAGGGGTTTTTAAGCAGAACTGCATAGGGAAAAAGCTTACTCAAATAAGACCTCTTGGTTGTTTCAATGTTTCATGACCTTATTATCACTTATTTATTTTTACGATAAATTTGGCTTGACGGAAACCTAAAGACTTTTTAGCAAGTAGTGAGAAATATAATTAAAATAATACTACAAATTGTCATAAAACTCTAACTCTACCAATTAGAATCCAATTTTCTACCAAAACGTTTAATTTAATGGTATAAAGAAGACTATAATATTCTTCATAAAAATGTAAAGGAAGATAGTGACATTACTTCGGTCAATTTTGCAAATATATAAAATATATCTTAAACACTTATACGGTTTAAATAAATTGTGTGAAATCGGTTGCAATAACAGATACACTATGCAAATACAAGAGCAAAGTTTTATGTTAAATCAGGTATAGAATCAACTCCATAAATTACCAAGCTATTTTTAAAACATCTATCCAAGCGAGCAAGCAATAGAGAAACTCTATGTATACTAATTGAAAACAGTTCCGAAATAATAGGAAAACAACATCCGAAGGAATAAAAAAAATTTGTGGACATCAACTATCGATATTACTATACTTCGTTCACAAGAACGGGTTTAAGGGAAGAATCTATCTCCTCTACTTGACCCTTTACTTTAAAAATGTTAGTTCCACATTTGATTAAGAAAAGTAATACAAAATACGAAAAAATGGCAATAGTCGAGTAAATATAGGCACTGAGATAGAACAAATTCCAACAAATGGTTTTTCGACGGTTTTTGGTAGTAATAGGTGTAGAAAGTACCAGGAAAAAAGTCTACCAAAATCGGACAACCGGAAGTCGGGTTTTTCCAAGATGGCCGCCGTGAGGCCCTCGAATCGACAAGATTACTGCAAATTCGTCGATTCATAGTTCCAGGATTGGCCGATTTCCACGAAAATTTGCAAACACACGTAGAACTATATTTCCAACCTCAAATATGAAAACTAGGCAGACAAAGTAACCCAAAGATGAATTTTCAGGGTATTATGTGCTAAAAAAATAAGATTTTTTACCTCAAATATATGTTTTTCTAATATTTTGTACAAAGTTTGTTATAATTTCAAATTTATTTTTTCACCATTAGATTCAACACAAAAAACCTAACAATTTAGTATATTGAATCTTTGTTCTGCTTCAATTTGTTACAGAGATATTGAAAGTAATAACTTTAGTATGTTTTCTTGCCGAGATAGCTCAATGTTAATCTTATGGAGAATAAGCATAAATATTAATATTATTTTTCATTAAACCTATATAGATAAGACTTTTTGTTCTGCTTCATATTATCTGTTTTAATATTTTTTTTACTAAAAATTCCTTTTTTTGCAGTTATTATTGCAGCAAACCTACGTATTCGGTTCCTCAGTGTTAATCATAAAGAGAATAAGCAAAAATCAATTTTTTTATTAGTCCGAGAAGTATAGAATATTACCTTAAGAAATTGCAAGAAAACGTTTTATGGTTTTATGTTGTAGTGTTGGGTATGCAGAGTAACATAGTAAAATTTGCCAATAATCGGTCTACTGGAAAACCCCTAGAATCAAGATTTAATATGACGGATTTTCTCAACATTGGAAAAATTATAAAAAAATCCACATGCATTTTCATTGATATTGACTTCAGACCACCACCGATATTTATTGGGTGGTCATTTCTTCATTTCGATAGGGAACGTGTTTTCGGCCGTCATTTTGGATCCCCCAATTGGAGATAAATATTGTTTTTAATGCAATGACAGTGTCATTTCAATAGCGAACTTGTTTTTAGCCGTCATCTTGGATCGGCCATATTGGATATAAATAATTTTTTTTTATGTAATGGCAATGTTGTGACACATTATTTTAAACTAGATTTTCACGCCCATTCCATTGCCAAAATGAGTTTTTAAGTATCTTTTTTCGTTTTAAAGATATATTCAAACGAAAATTCTCCTGCATACATTTCTTAAGGACGTTTCATATTTTGAACATTTTTTAAGATTATTTTTTCTTATATCTCCAGTACATATTAACGCTTGCAGTTCGTTCTAGCCTTAAACATTTAGTGATGTAAGGGCTTTCATTTGAGCTATTGATCATTAAAATCTGTCGAGTTAGAGACTAGTTACCAACCCCAACAAAATATTAAATTTCACTTTTTAGAAATACATTTTTATTAAAATATTTATATCTTGGGTTTTTAATACGCCACCAAGTTCTTTCTGGTTTCATATTACTCAGTAAATGTTTGGGTTAATTTTTTAAACCACTAAATAAAATGTGACAAATTTAATATGGGTACTTAAGTTATGTACTTAACTAAAGACAAATGCAAATAATTTAATATTAAATTAAGGTGCATGACTCATTTTTATTAATTAGTCAGATATTATTTAGTGACTAATAAAATAAAAAACCTAATTCTCTACTGAGTAATTTGAGACCAGAAATAACTTGGTGACGTATTAAGAACCCGAGATATAAATCATTTAATATAAACTGGTTTATAAAAAGTTAAATTTAATATTTTGTTGGGATTGGTAGCTCGTCTCTAACTCGTCTAATTTTAATGATCAATAGCTCAAATGAAATCCCTTACATCATTAATTATTTAAGAATGAACTACTAACTGAAGATAAGGTAAATAATCGTAAAATAATTTCAAAGTACAAAACGTTTAAAAGAAAAAAAAATTGTATTTAAAAACGGATTTTGGCAATGGAATATGCGTGAAAATCTAGTTTATATAGTAATAATGTGTCACAACACTGTCGTTACAACAACAAAAAATTATATCCAATAAGGTGGATCCAAAATGAAGGCCAAAATACGTTTCCCATCGAAATGAAGTACTGACCACCCAATAAATATCGATGTTGGTCCCAAGTCAATATTTAGAAAATTGTGCATGGAAAATGCTTAGACCTTTGGTATCTTTTTTTCAAAATTTGTCCATTGTTGGGAAAATCCGACTCTGCACACCCAAAACTACAACATAAAACCATAAAACGTGTTCTTGTATTGTTTTTAAGGTTATATTCTATACTTCTCGGACTAAAAATAAAAAAATGATTTTTGCTTATTCTCTTTATGATTAAAACTGAGGAACCGAATACGTAGGTTTGCTGCAATGGTAACTGCCAAAAAAGGAATTTTTAGTAAAAAAAATTATTAAAACAGATAATATGAAGCAGAACAAAAAGTCTTATCTATATAGGTTTAATGAAAAATAATATTAATATTTATGCTTATTCTTAATAAGATTAACATTGAGCTATCTTGGCAAGAAAACATACTAAAGTTATTACTTTCAATATCTCTGTAACAAATTGAAGCAGAACAAAGATTCAATATACTAAATTGTTAGGTTTTTTGTGTTGAATCTAATGGTGAAAAAATAAATTTGAAATTATTACAAACTTTGTACAAAATATTAGAAAAACATATATTTGAGGTAAAAAATCTTATTTTTTTAGCACATAATACCCTGAAAATTCATCTTTGGGTTACTTTGTCTG